GCTTTACCCAATCACATTAGCTTGTAATTTATTCTAATGTAGCATGTATTTCCCTTTAAAGCCAATTTCTATTCCTTAGGCGTGCGCCTAAATGCCTTTCAGATTAACCTCTCTGATCAAAAGCGCACACAGCTCAAGCAAAATCTCTCCTTTTACCTCAATGAGCTGTTTATTATTCTTCTCTCCAGAAGCTGTGATCAGCTTGGTACCATAACCGTGTTCTCTTTCAAGGAAAGCTTCAGGTGGAACAACAGAGTGGCCTACATGCTTAAAGAAAGCAAATCAAACTAACATACTGTGCTCTTATGATGGCCAAGAGGGGCTGTGCACCAGAGAACAGACTTCCCAATAGTGAGGTCAGTCAGTACCAACAGATGCATCCTTTCACAGCTCCTGGCAATAATCCAGCACGTGCCCAAGTTACAACCCAGTTCTAAATGTCTCTGACCTCAAGGCTAGCACAGCTGAAGTCCTGTTGCTGTTTATTTCAGTAGAAGCCAGGTCTATCTGGTTTCAGCCACAACTGGCAAACAGCTGAAGCCTCGTGTGTGTACCTGCACATTTAGAGAAGTTACAGAATTTCAGAGCAGAGGAGTGACATGGGATGAGATGTGGTTGATGGGAAGGAAGTTTAGGAGAAGGAGCCAGAACGCAAGGGATGCATTATGGTAATAGAAACTCACAGAGAGAAGGCTTTGTCCAGGATAAAATTGTTTGGTACCTGCCAAACACTGAAATATGAAACCTGGAGCCTCTCATTCCCAATGGTTCAAACCATGTTCCTGTTCCACTACCCTTCTCTCTAAAATACATGTACACAGGCTGCAGAGTTTCCACAATGTAGCCCCACTTCATTCGAGCTCTTGGGTAGAACTTGACATGAAGCATTCTAACTCAAGGGGTTTGTGCTGGCTTAACACCATTTCCATCATCAATAGACTTCTTTCTCCCCAAAGAGAGGTATTACATACTTCATACAAGCAGTCAGGTTTATTTTAATCTCTACAACATCACCTCAACATTTAATAATGCATCAAGGGAATCAAAAGAGAATGGACCAAAAACCAGGCCTGAAGTCTTCCTCACAATTTTCAGCTTACTAATTCTTGCTTCATCCCATCACCTTGATGACTGAGTGTCTTCCACAGAGGTGGTCACACTGCTGAGCTACATTCCCAAACTTGCCAAATTTCATCTGAAAATCAGGTACACTGGAATTGCCATTGCTCTGCTGTAAGTATCTCACTTGTCTGACATGAACCAGAGCCCTTGGTTCACAGCTTCGTCAGACCTACAGCTTCAAGGACTCAGTCTGGACCACAGGCTTCAAGCAGCAGACAGTGCCCAGCACTGTGACACTGCTCAAGTGACTGTGCCCGCAATCAGGGCTGCATAGCTCAACCATGGCCACAGCTGCCAACATCACCCTAGTGCTTCCTGACTGCAGATTCAAGAGTCGTTACCATCACAGATCTCCTCCTCAAGCACTCTTTTATTCTTCTTCTCAAACAAGATAAAGCGATTAAGAATCTAAGTCTCTCTTTAGACAGCCTGATTTTCAAATCTTGCCTGTAACCCCTTCCTAAATAGTTTCCAATTTGCCAACATCCTTTTTAAAGCTCTCACATCAAAATTGGACACACATTTCTGATCATCAAGTGAGAGCCCTCAAGGTAATCAGCACAGTTCTATTGAGCAGGTTTCCATTTTACAGCTGTGCTGTCACCACTCATTGCCTTTGGGCTGCATGCGCTCAGTTTGTGCTGCATTTGAACAGGGCTTTCTTTGGCGGAAAGGACAAAAAAAAGAAATGATTGCTTTCCTGCAGTTCAGTGTGTGCTTGGTGTAGATCCTACCCAATTCCATTACACAGATTCACAGAATCACAGCCTGGTTTGTGTTGGAAGGGACCTTAAAGCTCATCCCGTTCCAATCCCCTGCCATGGCCAGGGACACCTTCCACTAGAGCAGCTTGCTCCAAGCCCCTTCCAACCTGGCCTTGAACACTGCCAGGGATGAGGGAGCCACATCTCTGCTTCCAAAATGAGGTGTACTTAAGGCTTTTGTACTGAGGAGTAGGGGGACATGAGCAGAAACCAAGATGTAAAAAATATCCCCCTAACTTTAGAGAACTGAACATCATGTGGCCACTACAACCCTGACCACTGACAGCACAGCTCTGCAGCTGGCAATGTCTCTGTGGTCTCCATGCTCAGGAGCACAGGATGCTGCAGATGTTGAAGAGGAATCTTGGCTGTGATGACTTTGAAGACATCAGGTTACAAAATGGAAAATCCCTTCCCACCAGGCAGTGCAATTCCAGTTGGCCATTGCCTTGCACAACTTCCAGGGATTACTGGCAACTTGTGTAGGCAACTGTGCAGCTGTAAAACATCTGGCTGTATTTCACAGGGTGAGCACACACTTCCTAGGTCCCACTTCACAGCTGTATGACAGCAGCACTGGCTGCTGACAAGTAGTGCTGTGTCTCTAAGAGCCACTGTGATACGGTCCCAAACCAGAAATGCCACAGCAGTCACATCACAAGAGACACTGGTGCCAGGAATCACATCAGTCAGATTTTGCTTTCCCACAAAGTACATTTTCTAGATATCTTCCATGAGAACATGCTCTGTACCAGCACTGCCAGAAACAACCTGGCTCACTGCAACTGAACACCAGCCTTGCAGGCTGTGTGTTCATGAGCTTGAAGTGCTTTAAGCATATCAAATACTTAACTCCGCTCACTGTGATGTTAAAAAGGCTGCCAAAACTGCAAAGCTTGCAGAAGGAGAGAAAGCACAAGAGGAGGTTAAAACCAAACAATAGCATTAAAGAGATGTAGAAGTCGGTGACAGCAGGAGATTCCAGGTACCCATTAAAATCTCTGTTCTCCCCTAACCTAGACATAGTCATTTCCATCCTTTCCCCCTGAAGCCAGTAAAACAGCATTAAAAGAAAAAAAATCAACAACTGTCCTACATTTACACAAGTGGAACAGTGAAAACCAATGAAAGCCACTTGGCATCTTTATAAGACAGTTCAAATAAAAATTAATGGCACATGTAATAATAATTCCGAGAGTATTTTGTTTCCATTTATATCCAGCTAAGAGACAATTTTTGGTGCATTTGGTTTTATAGATCTGTGTATATGCAGCAAAGTAGAAATCCTGCACATGGGCAAATAAATAAGAGGCTATGACTGGCTGACAGCAAGATTTGTAGAGCTAATTAGTTCAATGAATAGGAAAGGCACTCAAAATAACAGCTCATCAAATAGTTCTTCATACAAGAGAGATCTGTCACCCTGCCTATGCTGAATAAATATTTTTACTGCCTTCCAGAGATCAGTGCCAACGGAAGCAAATAAAACCAGAACACAACAATGATAAAACCCCACCAAACTCCACTGACTCCAACCCTCCCAGGCAGCTGCCAGGCTGTCCATAAAGGAAAGGTCCTCAAACATCCATAAACCCTGTCGTGTCGCACAGCGCAAGAGCTGCACGTGCTCCTGTTGGTGCATTACATCCTTTCTTGCACGGCTCTCTGTTACCAATGCACTGTGCTGGAAATCACGGTTCGTTAGGAAGACAGAACATATTCCCAAAGCACACTCACGGCCTCGTGGAAATGGCAGCACCTTGGGCAGACATTTGAGGTCAATTCAATTCTGTGAGAGCTCGCTGCAGAAGTGCTGTCATCAGACAGAACAGGTCTGAGCAAGTGCCTTGTGGTGGGGGCCCATGGGGTGAGGTAGTGAAGATTAAGGAAATAATCACGCTTTGAACTAGTAACAGATTAGAGTACAATCAACAGTGTTCTATAGGCAGGATACTAATAACACTGTGGGGTTTTAAAGCCCACAAGTATTACCTGATTCAATCCCTTCTCTCAGGGACAGCTTCATCCCCTCAGGAGAACTTCTATGAAGTACATAATTATGAGAGGCAAACCAGGTTACAAGAAGCTGTTCTGGGCACAACACTTGGTTACAGTGAGCAACATAAAGCACTCACCCATCTGTATCTCATCCTTCTTGATGCAGAAGAGTAAATAACATACTGAGTTAATAACGAGTATCAAGAAAAGAGGAAGAACAAGGAAGCACGGAGGAAGCACAAAGGCAGCTGACTGAAGCCAAAAGCAAGGACCCTACCCCTTCTAGTAGCAAGTGCTGAGCAGGACAGAGAGAAGGGAAAGGTTCACGTATAAAAGCAGCCAACAGGAGGGAATCACTCACACAGGTACCATGAGACAAATTCCCCCAAAGGGCCCCGAGAGCTACTTTACATCTGGTCACAAATGAGCCTGCCCCATCCCCAGCAGCTCCTGCCAACTGTTACCAGCAGAACTGTCCCCCTTACAGAGAAATGTAATAATGTTAAATAGTCCAAAGTAATTCATGGCTTACATGGTTTTAGTATTGACATTCAAGTGCACCATCAGCTCCTCTGGTGAGTGATATTTCTAATTGATTTGAAATTGTGATATACCTATTATTCAATCAACTCAGTTTTGCAAACTCAATTGAGATCTGAAACCAGGCCAAGAGATATAACGAGACTGTAGCAGCTACATATTTAAAAGAGGAGAAAAAGTAAACCATCTGTTTGCTTATGTATAGTAATATAAAACATATCCTTGCCATCTCTTTTGATTTTGCCACTGTACTCCTTTGAAGAGCTACACAGAAGAAAACTGCTTCGGCTATAGCTGGCTTTCATCATCCTCCCCAAATCTTAGTCTTCTTTTACAGCAAATCATTACAATTCTATTCATCTTTTTATGCCTATAATCCAGAGTTTCAAGCACACTCTTGGATATAAAGGCCATTTGGGCCAAACATAAATTGATGAAATGTTGGCCTTGTCTTCTAAGCATTTCAAAATGGTCACATATATTTCAGCATTTGAATTTTTCTAAAGCAGAGCCGCAGCAGCGAGTGAAGAACTGAGTAAACTCACATCTGAACAGTAAATTCACATCTGAATTGGTGATTTAACTTCTTACCACTGCTTTGTCCAATCTTCCTGAGCTTCCTTTTGAACAAAGCTGTTCAACGGGCGCGTTTCCACCCAGATACTGAGCCTGGCTCTTGAGAACACGCCACAAAAAGGGTCAATTGTCATTTCTGTCCCACTCCCCTTGTGCTGCCCCTGCGGGGCTCAGTAACATTTCCCAGGTTGACTGAGGCACGTGGCCAGCGTGAACAAAGCCCACACTCACAACTAGTATCACCCATAACAGATTGTTTTTCTCCTGTGCTCACCCTCTCATACCAAGTTCTTGTGTGTGAACAGGCCACAGCCAGCGCTGCAGCTGGGACTGAGGTGCACCAAGTTGCTATTTCCATTACCCAGCCCCATTTCCAAGCTTTAATCCGTCAGCAATTCCAATCCACCGGTATCCCACAGCAGTGGGGTTATCCCACATGTACAAATCAAGCTGCAAATGACAAGCTAGCCATTCTGACTTACCACAGCATCTACATCCAGCTTGGGTTTAACTTCGGAGCCTGTTCTTAGTACAGAAAGGGAATTCATTTCATCCTGTACAAGAAACAGCAAAGAAATTGAAATGGAACACTGGGGAAAGCATCTCCTAATGGTTTTCACCAAATTTATTCATATAGAATATAGAGGAAAAAATAAAGGAAAACCTAATGTACTTTTTGCACCACAAAGTAACACTGAATTCAACCTTGTTCCTGAGCACTGGGAGTTTCAAAGCTGGGTATGTAGGTCAGGTACACAAGCCCCATAGAAATGCAACTTCATGAGGTTATTTCTGAAACACTTACTCTGAAAGAACACAGATATGGACAAATTCTTTGGGAGCTGAAGTCAGCACAGGTCTTTCCACTTGGGATGAAACACCAGCAGAGAGCTGACATCTTTTATCTTTCCAGGTGTCAGTTTTGGCCTCTGCAAAAAGGTGAAGTACAGAATCCTCCTGCACAAAAGGGAAAATTCATTCCTTTCATGAGCATGAACCCTTTAGCCCTGAAAATGCTCCTTCCTCTGACAGTCCAGGCAGTCCATGACTCCATCTTGTGACACTGGCAAAAGATGTGAGCACCCACAGGGTGTTCTGTGTGCAGCTCCAGGCATGGGGAGGTTTGGGGTATCCTGCAGTAACAGCCAGGGGTGGCTGTGCACATTTCCATGAGCTTTACAGAAGAGCAGCACAACAGCACAGCAATGTAACTGTAACTGAATCTGTGCTGGAGCAGCTGGATCTAAATCAGGACTAAAGCTAAGCCTGTGTAAATGGGTCGTGTGTAAAAGGCAGCGGCACGGCTCATACACGACTGAAATGGAGGTAAGTGTTGTACACATTTAAGAGCTGGGAGCACAGCAATTACTCTGCATTTTTTGTCAGGAAGTCACCACAAAGCACGTGCAATCCCTTAATGCCAACAGAGAGAGATGTTGCTTCAAGTCTGCTTTATGTGTGACAGTGGAAGAAAGAACAAACTGATCAAAATACTGCACCCTGTGTCTTTCTACAGCATACTTAGAGAGGCAGAAACTACTAATTCAGAGGAAATTCCTTCATCTAATATTATTCTGGTTCTAAGATCATGTTAGGCTGAAGTAATTCCCCTGGACTGTTGTAGCCCAAAGTATCTGCAGGGGACTGAGGAGAGACTTCTGCAATATGAAAAGGAGTAAAAATTGATCAGTGAAACATTTCAAGAACCAGGAAGTCCAGCCTTGGTAATAACAATATTAATATAACACCATCAGTAACACTCTGTTGTGTGAGCAGCACATGTCCATCATTCCCTTTAATGTGACTTTCAATCTTCAGGTTTTCTTCCATACCCATGAGAGCTCAGAGCATCTTCTCTCAAGCCAATCTAATTATACCAGTAAAAAATGGAATGAAATAGTCCCATTCATAGATTTAGTTCCCCCTCCTGCATTATGGCACCTTCTTTTGTTTTAGTGCTAACTGTGAAATGAAACAATGATGAAGCACACCAGGAGCGCGCAGATGAGCACATACAACTTGCTCAACTACCTTCAGTGTCTTATGTAATGTTCAATATTGATTTTGATTCAATGAGACTTCTATTAGAGTTATCTGTTCTAGCCAGCTGCCAAATGTACCTGCTCAGTAATGTGTCCAAATTCATTAACAGTTTTGTTTTAATAATATTTCATTTTAAAGTTTAATTTTATCCACACATTAGCTTCATATTACTTATGCAAATAAAAGCTTTATGGCTATATTAGCAATAATTCATTATCATTCCCTACTGGCTTAGTGAAGGAATTTGTAACTTTGGAGTATATCCAGAGCTTTTAATTGAAGATACTAAGGGAAGCCTACATTTTGTTAGAATCATTTGCACATACAAATTAACTATGATTAGCATAAGTCTCTCCAACTCTTTCCAGGCTCCCAGGCAGATTGTCTAGGATAGGACTTTTCCCCAAGTCCTGTCTGAAGGGTAATGTACTCAAGGTGGAATCCAATAAGCATCCTGGAGTAAAGAGGCTGTGGCTGCTGCAGCTGGGATCCAAGGCAAGCCAGTAATCTGTTCCCTTCCAGCAACTTGGACCGGGTAGGAGCGAAGGATGGAAATACCAAGACTGTATGGTCATGTTGCAAAACCACGTATGGTTTAGCTGCTTGGGCAGAGAGGGTATGTTTTGGTGGAACTTTACTATTTTCTGTTGCTTTACGTCTTCATAACCAGCCCCCGGTACGGAACTTACAATGACTAACTGGAGAGAATACTGCAAGTAGATGGACTTGGTGATAATTACTTACCAGGTCAGTATCACCACAGGTAGTCTTGCAGGGCTGGGTCTTCTGTGTTCCAGGGTTTCTGTCTCCAATCCAAAGGTAGAGGACTGGACCCTAAATCATCTCAGAAACCTATTAAGAAAATTACTATGTAGGTACTCCTTTCTTTGTGCTCTAAATGAGCTCTTGTTGGATGAGGAACCGACTCATGTTTACTTTATTATGTCCCAAGTCACATAAGGACTGTGGGTATCTTCCCCATCTCCTGCAGAAGACGTTTTAATTAGCCAATTATATTAGTAAAAAGCAATCTAATTTCTAGGCCAAACAATAGCATGGCACAGATATTAAAATCAAATTAGCAAGCCACTGCAGTGTTTTCCTGTAGCATGCAAACCCCACCTCCTGCCCAGATAATTATGTCTGCGTAGTGATCTGTGGCACGGAGAAAACACACACACGCTGTGAGTAATGAACACGGTGACAGGTGTTAAGAACTTCCCTCTACTGTCTCTCTCCACCTTTTGCCCTTTTAATTTAGTTTATTAGTAATCACGGTGTGTCCTTTAAATACATGCTTTAGAAAACAAACAGCAGCAAGTGCTGCTCCAGGAGATTCCGCTCCTGGTGCGCTGCAGACTTCCTGCACGACTCCAGCAAAGCCTCACAATTTCTATGCACTCTGCTGTAATAGGACAAACGCCTTCCCACCTCTTCCCTCCCTCCATGTCAAGTCAGTGTTGGGAGAGAGAAGAGGCCTCACCATGTCCTTGTGTCTGAGGCAGAGCAGCAAACCCCCAGGCATTCGCAGCTCAGGATTGTTAGACAATGGCAATGGTTTTCTCCACAAAGAAACTCCAGCCACGTAACCTTTAACTGTGGTGGGAGAAGTGAAGCTTTCTTCATAAAATACTCATATTAACAAAGAGGAGAGGGAGAGAGGGAATGGATCTTACAGCCTTGACTCCATACAGACCCTTTCTTTGCTCACAACTCTGAGTTTAAGCCAAAGCAGAGAATTAAAATGTTTGATCCAGGACGAAGGGTGCTTTTGATTGCCAAGTAGTGAAAGCTGAAAGGAATCTTTTCAGTTGTGCCTAGACTCCACCTTCTGAGATGGAAACAGACTGGAAACGCATTTATCTGGGAATCAGAAACAGCCCTTTACAAAACAACTAGCTGCTTTGAAAAGGTGCTTCCACCTTCCCCTAAAAGAACACAGGAGCCGGCTCTACCCTTCCATGCTCCAGCACTCTGCAGCTCCTGCTGTCTGGGCACAGCTCTGAGCACACCCAGTCCTCTCCATAGCACCATGGGTTTGTCAGAGTGAGACATTTATCCTGCAAAGGCCATGGCAGCAGCACACCCGTCCTGGAAAGGCCAACAGATCAACTGTTCTGAACCCCTGAACTCTGAATGCTTCTTACAACCCTCCACAGGTTCTGAGGTGTAAAATCACCCCTAAACAAAACAGTAACCAAGTGTGGGAGCACCGAAAGGATGAAGTGGAAGAGAGATGTTAGGGGCCCTCCTTCCTCCGCTGGGATGCAGAGCCCTGCCCCTGCTGCACCAGCCTCAGCCCCAGCACAAGCTTTGATCTGACCAGGAGTAAGTGCTCCCCAAACAGCACGTGACAGCCTAGAAACACTCAGGATCCCTCCTGACACATTCCAGATCTGCTCTAATTTCCCCTACATAAAATGGTAGTTCTTAAAGGGGCAGAATATCCACATATCTGAACCCAAATTCAATCTGTTATAAAGGAGTGTAAGGGAGGGATAAGGGGATTGCAGGGGTAATTTCTGCTTCCCTGGCTGTTGGTGTATCCCATGTTTCCTCTGTATTTACTGTACTGCTGAATGGAAATGCAGAGGTTTTACAATCAAGAAGAAAGGCAAATGAAATACAAAGTATTCCAGTGCTGTTCTAATGTAACTGCTGTCAACATTGCCAGTTACTCCTCCACAGTCAACAGAATTGTATGTACTGTATTTTGAAGGAGCATAAGGCCCAGAATTCCTTCGCCTTTCCTCACCCAGTGCCCCATTCCCTGCTACCTCCAGTGCAATTAATGCACTGGATTAAAGCACATGCTCCATCAGCTAAACAGAAAAGGCCAATTAACAACTCAACTCTCTACAAGCTTTCTGAGAAAACGCACCCAGGAGCATCCACCTGTTTTTGGAACCACCGATATTCAAACCTGTGACCCCAGGACTTGCTGCACTTGCTGCTGCTGAAGTTAGCAGTGTTAACTGGCTTTGTCCAAAGAGGCACTAACATCAGCCTCCTCTGTATCCACTGGGAAGCACTGGGGGATGTCATTTCTTTTGCCATTTGCTAGCTACACTAAATAAAATATTGTGACACGACAGCTCAGTAATTCTGCAGTAGTTCATGCAAGGGGCTGCTTGTCACCTGCCCTTCAACCCTGTGACATGATTTCTACAATCACCCCCCAGAATCCTCCTCCCCTCGCAAGGTGACCCTGTGTTTTGTTACCTTGGTGTCACAGACATCAAGAGTGGGCTCTGTAATTAACTGAACCAATGCTCACCCATAAGAAATGCTGACCGAAGCACACAGGGGAGGGCACGATTCCTCACCGTGTTAGTGCCCAGTTTCTGCTGCAAGGGAACAGCTTTCTGTACCGTTACACGTGGCTATTTTCAACATGTTGATACACATGAATTCCCAGCCCAGCAGTTGGAAAGCACTGGCTCAGCAATACCCACACACATCCCCAGACAAGGACTTAACCACTGGAGTGACTTCACTGCAGACATCCATAGGCTTCCACCCAAGGGGCTTTCTGCGCTCAAGCGCATGCAGCTCAGTCATGGGGAGCTTCTCATTACACAACACCCACAACATCCTCCTCCTCAGGACTGCTCCACCCAGTCTTCCCCAGCCTGTGCTTGTGCTTGGGATCACTGACCCAGGGGCAGGACCTTGCTCAGCTTCATAAGGTTCACATGGACCCACCTCTCCATCCTCTACAGGTCCCTCTGGATCTCACCCCTTCCCCTCCAGCCTGTTGACAGCACCACACAGCTCAGTCTTGGGTACTCACAGCTCACGTTTATCTTCAGTTTCATGGAAGACTGGGTTATAAGCAGGCCTTAACGGTGGGGAACAGTTAAGGAAAAAAATCGGTTGGGTAATCTTGGACTTCTGGCCCCCAGTGTAGAACTGGGATGGGAATAGAGAGACAAACATCATAATGAGAGCACACTGAGCAGGATCCGGGTGTGAGTGCTCCAAGTTCTAGTGCCATAATTTTGGAATGAACTTCCCTCCCCCAGTGTTTAGCTACAAAGTGTTTGAGTAAAGAATGCTAAATTACATGCAAGTCACATTAAGAACAATCAGTCTCATGTAATAAGGAATCTAATAGTTCATAAATGAGATGCAAATTCATTTTTACGGGTGCACTATAATAAGCCAATTATTTCAGAGCTCTTCAATTAGGCAGTTTCAAAAAGCTGAATTGCTTTAAAAAATTTCTTTTAAGAAGCTTTAGGTTTTTCCATAGCTTACAAGGAAAAAGAAAATGTATCTGCCTTGCAAGCAACATGAAAACCCCATCTTGCCATACTGCAAGCAGCAGCAATACAAACAGCAGCACAGAATCCTTAGGGTTGGAAGGGACCTCTGAAGATCACCTTGTCAACCCCTCTGCCAGGGCTGCAGCCCTGAGTTTAACTTCATGGTTTTTCCACATCAAGCCCCATTTGAAGATTGCAAAAGGAAAGCAAAGTCACTGCCTCCCAATGGGCAACCCCATTCCACTGACATCTTGGTTCCTTCAGTTCTGTTGCTAATGATTACTTACGGGGAAACAAAAGCAAATTCAGTTCTGAACCAGAGGTCACATGAAGGAGCAAACCATTCCCCACAGTTTCAGGCCTTTTTAAGGCTGTGCTGCACTGACAGCTATAGTCAGTGTTGTTCTCCAGGGCACCTCACTGCTAAGCTTTGGTGAGATGTGGCCTGCTTTTGGTCTGTGATTTTCAAGCGGAACAAAACAGTTGGAATTCCATATGCGCAATTCCTGCCTCTAATACAACCCTTTTTCCCCCACAGAGCCACAACACACTTCACAGGGGCGAGTCACAAACAAACTGAACAACCTCAGTTGTTGCAGTCTTGGCCACACCACAATAATGAACTTAGTCTTAAGGTGGTCATACATACTTACGAAATGCTGGGCTCCTGTCCAGTCCTTGTTGTTACCATTTAACCTTTTTCCACACAGCAAATGCACATACATGAACCTAGGAAAGGACTTCCCTTTCTGTGCAATGAATATAGATGTATTTTCCCGCCTTTGCTTGCAAACTGTTTGGATCAAATGAAATGTGCAGACCAAAGTAAAGGCTGTGAGAAGTGGTAATTGCAGCATCTGTCCCGCTCCCTGAGGGCTGAGGCAGCTGGCACTGGGTATGCAAGTGCTATCTGTTTGTCCTGCCCTGCTGAGACTCACCTTCCGGCTCAAGCTCTTGCCTGTCTCCCTCCTGTAGCAAGCACAGTACTGCTATCCACCGCCCTTGTGCTGCTTGTTCCCATGGGAATACCTCCTGCTGCAGCACAGGTACGCAGAGCTGCCAGGGCAGCCTCCCTCAGGGATGTCGTGACAGGGAAGCAGGAGATACATCCAGAGAAGTGAAGCCGGGATTCAAACACAGAGGTCATAGCCTAGACTAAACCAATTCTTACTGCTGGAAAATTTACCCAAGCTTTTAGGTCCATCAGCTCCTATTTTCAACTCTCTTTCAGAGAAGTAGCAGATTTGAAACATGCACCGTGTGCTTGCTCCCCAGGTGTAGGTATTTTTGAAGCATGCTACTTCTGTTTCATAATTCAGGTCATCTTACATGTCTTATGCATATCAGCACTCGAGTAAAAGATACAGCCTGTACTTGGGTGTCTTGTCTTAGAGCAACTTCACCACTCAAACCACTACAGGGGTTTCCCTACCATCACAGAGATCTCTGCTTAAAGCCCTACAGAGTTACAGGATGCTGAAAAGCAGGAAAACATCTAACTTTCCCACTCTCTTCCATGTCCATTATAAGCCTTTGTCAGGTTTGCTACCAGAATTGACTGAGCCAGGCTTGCTCTGCTGAACCTGCCAAACCTTCCTGGACAGAACATCCCAACAGATCAAGTTTGTGAGGAGCAGCAGAAGAGGCAATAGATTAGAGCACAGCCTTCTACCTGGTCTACAAAATTGGCAGCCAGATTGAGAATTACATGTTTAGCTTTGAAAATGCTTTTAGAGCAAGGCTTAGAAAAATGTACAGCAGAGTTTGAACACATTCCAATTGAAAACCATGTGCACTGTTTGCAACTGGAAAATGATCCTCATTTTAACTAAGACCATATTCCAGAGAAAAAGAAATATCAAATCTTACAATCTGGATCGGGACTTTTGTGACTAGAGAGTGAGGCAGCTTTGGAGAGGACATCATTTAGAGCTGTCTTGAAAGCAGTGTCTGAATCTGCAGGCACTTGACCTTCTGGGACACAATAATTCTAACAGCATTCTGGCCTTACGACGCTGTACACTGTAAAGTGAATGCATGCATCAGTCGT